GTCAACACATGCGTCCCCGATGCGTTGGCCAAGCACGGCTACCCCATCGACGTCCGCCAGTCTGGCCCATTCACTGTGGTGGAGGCCCGCGCTTGGTTGCAGCAGTGGGGGAAGATCCTAGCCCAGGTCCCCGCAGCCGCCACGTGGTCCCCTGGCGACTACCCACAGATATCTGGGCCACACTGCACAGCCTTTCGCACGCGGTCCCATATTCCAAGAAGGGCCCGGCCGCGCTGCGCGCCGCGCTGTGACGGGGTCTGGTACAAGATCGTCGATGGAATCCTGGGGGCCTCTGGCACGTTCTCCATGAACCTTGCTGCTGGCGGCGAGGACGATAACACAGATGACATCATACTATCGGATAATATTAGGCCGAACGGCCCTGTCCTGGATTTTGGTCGAGATACAGAGTTTCAGCGATGCGCTGCGCGCCTCGCAGACAACGCGCCTCTGAAGGTCCCCAGTGACGGTCTATGCTTGTACCACGTGGTGGCAGCTGCAGCAGTCGGGCCTGCCGAGTGGAAGCCCCTGCCCCTGGAAACCAAGATCCTTGTCGCTCGTAGGATCAAGGGGTGCATTGTCGCCGTTGCCAGGGCCTGCGGCGACGAAGCAACTGCAAGCCGTTTGGAAGAAGGGGACGGCGCGGAGAACTACCCTGGAGTGCCGGACCTGAAGTATTTCACCAAGTACATTGGTGGAGCAATACACGTACACGACGAAGAAGATAACACAATAAACCATGAGCTCCGGACAGAGTTTCCCGCAGACGACGGGAACAAGGATCCCATGATTATTGTTTGGCATTGCTCCACTCGCGACGGCGCGGGCGTGGAATGCCGCGAGCACTTCGAGCTGTTCCAGACTTACGTCCGCGTCCGTGAGAGGAAGGCCGCGCCTGAAGCCGTGCTCAGGCGCGCGGAGCTGCCAGGGGCCAGCGAGTCGCAATCTGCGTTCGCGTCCCTATGGCAGGGCGCCGGCAGCGGACTGACCAAGCTAAAGGACGCGAAGAAGCTCGAGGAGCCGACGGCGGGGAGCATCTTGGACGAGGCGAGAACCCTGGACGAAAAACTGAAGGGAGACGAGCGAACCCAACATTGGAGCGACCGCAAGCGTCGTCTCGCCATGGCAGCGCTCAGCATCTACAGCCTGCGCCCCACGGACTTTTCAGTCCGAGACCACGTCAACCTGATGTGGATCATATTCGGTGGTCGCCGTCTCCGCGCGCACCACTCCCAATCGTATTATTACAACGAGCGCTTGGGTAGCATGGAGGCTTATCAAGGATTGCTCCCCGACTCCTTCCACAAACACATCCTCGTACACATGCTGGAGCTGGAGGGTCTGTTCCGCGAGTTCGGCACCCCTGTGAGGCAGCGGGACGAAGACGTTCTCGAACATATTATTGAAATTTTCAAGAAAACCGAGAGCGAGAGCGATCTTTTCCAAACTTTCGTGGCGAACGCTTGCCATAACAAGGGGAACAGGGCCTTGGCGCAGGCGCTGAAGGGATCTGGCAAAGGGGGCGCGCAGAGGATCCCGAAAGGCAACGATGGCAAAGGCAATCTTGAAGCGGTAGATGATCTTGCCGATGCACTTGCTGGTCTCATCGACGAGGGAGAGGGTGGCGAAGACACGTCTGGTCATAATCTGTGGCACATAGTAACGGCAAAGAATATTTCCAGATTGGTGGGGCGCATGCAGATGGAGCTGAGCTCCAAGTCGTTATGGTCCCACTTCAGCGAATGGTGTGACACCCCCGATCCCAGGGCCAAGGGGGTCGCTTTCAAAGACTGCTGCGTCCTCTTCGACACCCCCGCCGGGAACGTGGAGTACCTCGATTCACGGAGCCCCGACCACAACATATACTACGGCACGCCGTGGAGTCTTCTGGGGGGGTCCGACCCGACCGTAGACGCGAACGTAGCTCGGTGTCAGAGTATATACGAGAGAACTTGTTGGGCAAACTTTAAAGCATATCAATTTGTCCAGGCCTGCATCGAGCTTGCGAAACGCGGGAGGAACGTCAACCAGATTGCGTTTGTCCTCGGGCCTGGAGGCGTGGGGCTATCTCTATTCACGGCGCACCTGGCAGACATGCACCCGCTGGGCCACCGATACTACGACCCGAACGTCTTCTACAGCGACGACGAATTGCGGAATACCGTGGAACTGCTCATGGGGGGCTTCATCTTCTCGGGACAAGAGAAATCCACGGCAACAAGCAGTCCTTGCGAGAAGATCTCATCAAAAAGTTTGTGACGGGCGAAGGGATTTCAGGGCGGCTGCCGCACGCCATTCTCACTCGCCCGTACCACGTTATAGGCTGGAAGCGCATCGAGTGCAATCGGCTGTTCAAGTTCGATGACATTACCGAGACGAATTACGAGGCTATCTTCAGGCGGTGCGCCGTTATTCGCATCTACGCAAAGTTATTCGAGCCTTTGTTCTTGGAGCGCAACCTCGCCGACCACGAATTGTACGGAATCTTCAAGCGAGAAGATGATGCCAAAGATTTCCTGGCGAGTCCTGGAGGGGCAGTTGCTGGACTCAGAAACCAGCAAGTCTTCTCCGTGAACAATTCGGAAAAAGGATTGCAGTCGCATCGTGCAGGAGTACACGACGTGCGGTGGGGACAATGGAGTAACTGATAAATACATACGCCAAGCTTGCTCTCTTACTCCGCGGAGTGGCGGCGACAAAACCGGCTCGCCATTGGAGTCGGCCGTGGTCACGGCGCCCCAGGAGATCGAAGACAACGGCGCCAACGAACTCAAGAAGATTGCTTTGCATTACTCCGTGAAATTCTTCCGCGACAAGAGACTGCCTGGCAATGCTCAAGCCCTGACGCACGGGTACTTCGTGGCCATGAGGCTTCCTCCTGGCTTACCTGGTACGTACACGAAAGCCAAGTGCTGGCAATCCCTTAAGGGGAGTCCACATGTAATTTCACTGCGTGCGGAGGGACACCTGCTTCCCCGCATACCCCTTGTCGAGGGCGCCGACGTGCCGTGCCCGCCCCTGAAGGCCGACGACCCCCTCAGCTCTTTCACCGAGCGGTACGATGCAGAAAATTTCAAGCGCGTGTTCCACGGGTGCATTGCGAGGGAGATGAACCTCAGCCTGCTTATACAACACCTCGACTCTCTGCCCTCCAAGAGCGGCAAGGCAGGTAGGCCTAGCGGCAGGGGGGGCAGGGGTAGGAGGGAAAGGCAGCGGCAGAAAGAAAGGCGCGGAAAAAAACAGAGGATGGGTCCACTGCGGAGCGCGCGGGGGCGAAGCCCGCGGGAGGTGGCACAGGGAAAACCGAGGACCCCGCCGTTCTGCACCACTACCAAGATCAACTCGAGAAATATATCGAACTGGAGCGCCACATCAGCTACTTTTCTCAAGTTTTGCCCCCTGAGGGGGCGCGTGGCGAGGCTGAGCCGCGATCGCGGGAATCGCAGGAGGGATCCCCGGCAAAACGGAGAAGGTTGGCAGCGAAGAGTTCCGACGCCGGCATGCACAAGCAAACGGTCAATTACAAGCGAACTCGCGAGTGGAGATCCAGGAAGCACGCCAGCGGCACGGCGGCACAGCACATGCAGCGATTCATGCAGGTGGCGACGCTACCGCATACTATCGACGTGGACATGAAGAACGCGAAGTTCTGCTTAATTCCCCAGATTATCGGGCGCTCGGGTCTCGCGGACAGCGCGACGTGGGCACCAGAGGTAGCCCACCTGAAGGAATTGCAGTACAACCGCGGCCGCATTTGCACAGGATCACTGGGGGTTCCAGAAGTAGTGGGCAAAGAGATCCTCAATCAGGTCTTCGAGGGCGGGGAGATCCCGCCGCGCTTCAGTGGCAATGAATACCTGCAGAAACATAAGCAGGCGGGGAGGTGGTGGCGAAGCCTAGCAGCAACAGCTCTGCCCAGCGTCTTCGAGCAATTGAAGGGCGACGCCGACGTCAAGAACCCAGACAGGAGCGTGGCTTCTCATCTGTGGATGGGGTGCGAGGACTACATATTGGAGAATCTCGTTGAATACCTTTTACAGTACAGCAAGGGCCACATGTCTTTGCACTACGACGGAGTCCGCGCGCAGCGAGACACGATGAGCTCTATCGCGCGCGCAACTTCTCCAGACGAGTACGCCAGCGGCATTTCCGACGCGCAGGTTTTCTTGAGGGAGTGCGAACAATACGTACAGGATGCGACTGGGTATCACGTCGAGTTCGCGATCAAAAACCATCGATATTTCCAGAACTGGGTTCCCAGTGGCCCTGCGGGCGATGCCCCTCATTTACACGACATATTCTACAAGCTTGGCAACTGCATTGGGCTTTGTTTGGCGCGCCTCTCCATCGGCGCTGACGCCGCCCAGGCCTTCCTGGAATCGTTGGACACGCCGTCGGTGGCCAGCGAGGGCGCGGCGATAACAAAGTCGCGGTCTTATCGCATATTCGCTGAACATTGTCATCTGGGACTGCGCCTCGCCGCGCCAGACGCACTCAGCACTGGGGTATAGTACCTCGTTCACTGCGAGACGTCGGGAATGCCTCACTGCATGGCGACGCAGGTAACTGCGGGCGACGTCGTCATCACTGATGCAGACAAGAGCTTCCAGATGACTCACGACGACTTCAAGGACTGGCCGCAGCGCCCCAGCCCCCGCCCCCTCCCTGCCGTCGCAGAGTCGTCGCGAGAAAAATTCTCTGCGAGCGTCAGCGCCCCTAAAACATTGCCCCTTTTCTTTCTGTTCCCACCAGGAGCGCGTTGCGGGCAGCCTGGACAGGAAGATGATTCTCATCTTCGAGGTGCACCCCAATGTCGCCACTCCTCCACGCCAAGTTCGACTGCTCGATCTTCGCGCAGGGGGCGCGGGCCACCAACCTGACGAGCGCTGTGCCGACGGCGACGCCGCGGCGTCGCAGGACGCTGCGGTGTGCGATCTTTCGGAGGAGTGTAAGCCGATAGAGGCTTGGGTCGATTGCCCTGACGTGGCCGACGAGAACGACGAGGCAGCGGTACACGTGCACGAGGCGCTGTCCAAGATCTTGTCTGATGAGACCCGGCATGTCACCGAACAGTTCCTCTCCAACAGGAAGATCTCTGCGCGGCCGCCGCACGCGCGCGCGCGTGATGCTACCTCTTCGATGCGATGCCCGTTGTGTCCGAGGAAGGCCGTTGGCGACAAGAGCCCGAGCACCTTGCGCAAGCGGCTGGAGGACCACCTTGATAAGCACCACTGGCCCAAGGAGCTGGGCGACCGCAACGCTGACTTGTCCAAGTACGTACCAGGGGGGGCCAGACAGCTAAAGGCCCTCACGGCTTTGTTCGAGGACGACTGCCTGCCAGGCCGCGCCAGGACGCCCTACCTACAGGATTCAGCCAGCATCATCCGCGGATGCTTTCCTGAGCATGCGCTGGCAACGCGCACCGACAGGACGACTGACAGAGATCTCTGTTTCCTATTGGACAGCACTGGGCCGACTTTTTTCTACGACGGAGGTGAAGACATTCGGCGGGACGCACGGCGGGTGGGAAACGTATGCTACACGCGGGGCTTCGCGAACTCATTCTTGGAATTCTCCTTGGCGGAGCATGGCCGCTTGCGCCCCATCCGCGACAGGTTGGTCCAGGTGTGCGACCGCGGCCACAACCCCTTCTGGCATCTCTTCCCGAGACACCCAAAGACGACTGCAGCAGTACTTGAGGACATCATGACGCCCCCGTACGCGCAAGGCACCAAGGAGAGGCTTATCACGCAATGTTGCGAGCACAGTGAGTTCACACACATGTCCATCGACGCTACGGTGCGGGTCGCAATGCCCCTGAAGGGCCAAGCCAAATACAGGGCAAGCCGCGCGAAGAAAGAAGCCGCTGCGCTCCCAGAGGAGGAAGCCAAGCGGTCGGTCCTGACAGCGCGAGGTCGCACGGGCGCAGCGCTCGGGACGCGGTTAATCCAAAGTGAGGCGACCAACCATGTTAGCGACGCTCTGGCCGGCCACTTCCCCCAGGATTATCGTCAGCAAGTGGTCGCAATCTTTTCAGATGACCCTTCGAATCTGATGTTCGCGACCTTGCGGAGGGCGTTCCCTGAGTTAACGTTCCTCTGCCTGGACTCAGTGCACTCGGTGATCGTGCATCTCCAGGCGCGCTACCGCAAGCGGACAGCTGGTTCGCAGCACCACAGAATTATCATGCACAAGCTAAACAAGGTGGACACGTCTTTCAACGCAGGGTCTTGGGGGCCGCCGTATCGCGGCGATGGGAGCGTAGAGCTGACCCATCCAGAGGCGCACGCACGGGCCCACATAGAGTCTGGAACGCTTCCCATGCCCGAGGCGCAGCGCATTCACGCCAGCATCGACCCGAATAAACCGTATGCGACGCGCTTCGAGTTCATCGCAGCCCTCGCATCTTTGACCGCGTTGTTCTGGGCGGAGGTCGAACGCAAGACCCACGTGAATTCCCAGACGCCGGCGAAAGTGATATGGCGCGCTGCCGCCGCCAGTCGGGCCGAGTGGCATTTGAACAACCAGAGGTGCAGACGCGCTGCGCCGAGCTCTATCCGTTCGCTACTGAGCGCCGGGACTGCTCAGAGCGAGAGCCCCCATCATGAGGTGAACGCTTGGTTTCGAAATCAGCCCGAACTGCATGCCTCTACTTTGCAGCTTCAGTTGGACGTTAACTGTTTGGGCAAGTTGATTTCGCACAATGCTGCTGCGTACTCCCCCGGCCTGCGCCAGCTGGACCAGAAAACCATATTGTCGGCTGCGCCGGCGACGATGGACTTTCCCCTACGCTCATGGGCAGACTGGACAAAAGAGCTGACGCCTGATAGTGGGGGAGCACAAGCCAACGCGACTTTGCCATCGAGGGGCGAGCGGCCGAGGACAGCAGCGCTGCTGAAGGCGAAGCGGGCCCCCCGCAGGATCGCCAGCAAGCGCCCTGCAGCCAGCGTAGTCGTGAAAAAGACATGCAAAAAACAATGAAGCGGACTGTCTTCACAAAGCGTCGAGTCCGCTGGGCGGATCTCCGACGCGTGCGATGTGCACCTTTGGAAGTGCGGCGCGCTCCCCTTCGCAGAAAAATGCGCCATTCGCATTGCGCCATCTTTGTCGCCATCACCATCCGCCCCACGGGGGGGGGGGAGAGCAGGACTGAGGGGAAGGGAGGAGGGAAGAGGAGGAGGAAGGAGGATGGGGGGCGGAGGAGGAAGACTGAGGAGGAAAAGGGGAAGTTTTATTCGCGTGAGCCGCGCGCGGGCGCGGTTGCTCGTCGTGGTTTGCGCGTGCTCGCGGTGCGTTCGTTTGTCGCGGTTTGTTTGTAGTCGGAGGAGGAGGAGGAGGAGGAGGAGGAGGAGGAGGAGGAGGAGGAGGGGGAGGAGAAGGAAGAAGCCGCTTGTGGGAGGGCGGGAGGCTGGGCGCCCGGAGAAGTGGGGGAGGAGGAGGAAGAGGAGGAGCAGGAGGGAATCGGTTGAGGGAGGGAGGGAGGCTGGACCCCCAGATGTTCTGAGCGCCCTCGAAGACCTGGTTGAGGATCCCCCCGCCCTCAGACGTGGTTTCTTCGTATATCGTATTCTATGTGTTGTCGTGGTTTGTTTGTTTGTCGTGGTTTGTTTGTTGTCGCTGCTAGTTTCCGTTATCATGGATAGTTTGTCATGGTTTGTTTGCTTGTCGTGGTTTGCATGTAGTCGTGGTGGGCTTGTTTGTCGTGGTTTGTTTGTTTCTGTTTGTTCGTTGCCACGCGCGCTAGTATTGTTTAACCTGTGTGCAGAGGCGTCTGACAACAGAAATAAAGAACCACGGTAACAAAAAAAACGAGAGAGCGTGATCCACCGCCGCTTTACTGTGGAAAATTGCCAACCTTTTCCTCTGGAACCCGGGGGTCCCTCCCTTGCTGGACCCCCCCCCCTCCCCCAGCAAAACCCCCCCCTCCCCTAACCCGTCCCCCCCCCCATCTCCCCCCTCGAAAACCGGGGGGGGTCACTACCGGTTCGAACCCCTCCCCCCCGCCCCCCTCCGGATCCGGAAAACCGGGGGGGGCCACTACCGGTTAGAACACCCCCCCCCCCCCCCCCCCTTCTCACCGCCAGCAAACGACTCCCGGTCCCCACCACCGTCCGCATCACATCCCCCACTGGTGTTCCCAGCACCACTGTCCTCACCACCGCCCCCCCCCCCCCCCCCCCCCCCCCCCCCCCCCCCCCCACCCCGCCCCCCTCCCCCCCCCCCCCACCCCCCCCCCCCCCCCCCCCCCCCCCCCCCCCCCCCCCCCCCCCCCCCACCTCTTTCCCCCCGGCCCAAAAGCGCACAAAAAAAAAAAAAAAAAAAAAAAAAAAAAAAAAAAAAAAAAAAAAAAAAAAAAAAAAACAAAACAAAATAAAAGGGGCAAAAAAAAAAAAAAACAAAAAAAAAAAAAAACCCCACCCCCCCGCCCGACCCCTAGCCCCTCCCCAGCCACCCCCCCCCCTCCTCCGCTCGAAAACGGGAAAGCGGTCGCTTTACGGTTCGAACCCCTCCTCCCCCCCCCCCCCTCCGGTCCGGAAAACCGGGGGGGGCCACTACCGGTCGACCACCCCCCCCCCCCCCCCCCCCCCCCTCCACCGCCAGCAAACGACTCCCGGCCCCCACCACCGTCCGCATCACATCCCCCGCTGGTGTTCCCAGCACCACTGTCCTCACCACCGCTGTCCCCACTGGTTCCACCACCGCCCCTACTGTCCCCAGTGGCCCCACCACTGTCGCACTGTCCCCGCTGTCCCCAGAACTGTTCCCACCACGGTTCCACTCTCCCCACTGTCTCCACGGCCCCAACCACTGCACGACTATCCCCACTGTCCCCACTGTCCCACTGACTCCTCCGCTGTCCCACTGAGCTGTCCCACTGTTCCCACCACTGTCCCCACTGTCCCCACCACTGCCCCCACTGCACCTCTGTCCCATTGTCCCACCGCCGTCCTCGCCACCGCCTTCACCACTGTCCCCACCACCATTGCACCCTCCACTGTCCCACTGTTTCCACCTCATTCCCATTGTCCCCGCACCACTGCCCCCACCACCACCGTCACCACCACTGTCCACTGTCCCCCCCTGTTCCCACCATTGCCCCCACCACTGCCCCCACCACTACCGCCCCCACCACTGTCCCACTGCCCCACTGTCCCCACCATTGCCCCCACCACTGTCCCGCTGCGCCAGTCGGGCCGAGTGGTATTTGAACAACCAGAGGTGCAGACGCGCTGCGCCGAGCTCTATCCGTTCGCTACTGAGCGCCGGGACTGCTCAGAGCGAGAGCCTCCATCATGAGGTGAACGCTTGGTTTCGAAATCAGCCCGAACTGTATGCCTCTACTTTGCAGCTGCAGTTGGACGTTAACTGTTGGGGCATGTTGATTTCGCACAATGCTGCTGCGTACTCCCCTGGCCTGCGCCAGCTGGACCAGAAAACCATATTGTCGGCTGCGGCGGCGACGATGGACTTCCCCCTGCGCTCATGGGCAGACTGGACAAAAGAGCTGACGCCTGACAGTGGGGGGGCACAAGCCAAAGCGACTTTGCCATCGAGGGACGAGCGGCTGAGGACAGCAGCGCTGCTGATGGCGAAGCGGGCCCCCCGCAGGATCGCCAGCAAACGCCCTGCAGCCAGCGTAGTCGTGAAAAAGACATGCAAAAAAACAATGAAGCGGACTATCTTCACAAAGCGTCGAGTCCGCTGGGCGGATCTCCGATGCGTGCGATGTGTACCTTTGGAAGTGCGGCGCGCCCCCCTTCGCAGAAAAATGCGCTATTCGCATTGCGCCATCTTTGTCGCCATCACCATCCGCCCCACGGGGGGGGGGGGCAGGACTGAGGGGAAGGGAGGAGGGAAGAGGAGGAGGAAGGAGGATGGGGGGCGGAGGAGGAAGACTGAGGAGGAAAAGGGGGAGATTTATTCGCGCGAGCCGCGCGCGGGCGCGGTTGCTTGTCGTGGTTTGCGTGTGCTCGCGGTGCGTTTGTTTGTCGCGGCTTGTTTGTAGTCGGAGGAGGAGGAGGAGGAGGAGGAGGAGGAGGAGGAGGAGGAGGAGGAGGAGGGGGAGGAGAAGGAAAGAGGCGCTTGTGGGAGGCGGGAGGCCGGGCGCCCGGAGAAGTGGGGGAGGAGGAGGAAGAGGAGGAGCAGGAGGGAATCGGTTGAGGGAGGGAGGGAGGCTGGACCCCCAGATGTTCTGAGCGCCCTCGAAGACCTGGTTGAGGATCTTCCCGCCCTCAGACGTGGTTTCTTCGTATATCGTATTCTATTTGTTGTCGTGGTTTGTTTGTTTGTCGTGGTTTGTTTGTTGTCGCTGCTAGTTTCCGTTATCATGAATAGTTTGTCATGGTTTGTTTGCTTGTCGTGGTTTGCATGTAGTCGTGGTGGGCTTGTTTGTCGTGGTTTGTTTGTTTATGTTTGTTCGTTGCCATGCGTGCTAGTATTGTTTAACCTGTGTGCAGAGGCGTCTGACAACAGAAACAAAGAACCACGGTGACAAAAAAAAACGAGAGAGCGTGATCCACCGCCGCTTTACTGTGGAAAATTGCCAACCTTTTCCTCTGGAACCCGGGGGTCGCCCCCTCGCCACCCCCTTCCCGAAAATCGCCCCCCCCCCCTGCCTGCTGGACCTCCCCCCCCCCCCCCCCTCTCCCCGCAAAACCTCCCTCCCCTAAACCCCCCACCCCCCCCCCCCTCCGCTCGAAAAAAGGAGCGGCCACTCCGGTTCGAATCCCCTTCTCCAGTCCCAGCCCCTACCCTCCGGATCCGGAAAACTGGAGGGGGCCACTACCGGTTCGCACCCCCCCTTCCCCTTTCCCCCCCCCCCCTACTCACCGCCAGCAAACGACTCCCGGTCCCCACCACCGTCCGCATCACATCCCCCACTGGTGTTCCCAGCACCACTGTCCTCACCACCGCTGTCCCCACTGGTTCCACCACCGCCCCTACTGTCCCCACCAGTGGCCCCACCACTGTCGCACTGTTCCCGCTGTCCCCAAAACTATTCCCACCACGGTTCCACTCTCCCCACTGTCTCCACGGCCCCAACCACTGCCCGACTATCCCCACTGTCCCCACTGTCCCACTGACTCCTCCGCTGTCCCACTGAGCTGTCCCACTGTTCCCACCACTGTCCCCACTGTCCCCACCACTGCCCCCACTGTACCTCTGTCCCATTGCCCCACCGCCGTCCTCGCCACCGCCTTCACCACTGTCCCCACCACCATTGTACCCTCCAGTGTCCTACTGTTTCCACCTCATTCCCATTGTCCCCACACCACTGCCCCCACCACCACCGCCACCACCACTGTCCACTGTCCCCCCCTGTTCCCACCATTGTCCCCACCACTGTCCCCACCACTACCGCCCCCACCACTGTCCCACTGTCCCACTGCCCCCACCACTGTCCCGCTATCCCCCCACCACTGTCCCCACCAACACCGCCCCCACCACTGTCCGCACCCCCACTCGGTTTTCGAAGGAGGGGGGGGTTCGAACCGGCAGTGACCCCCCCCGGATTTCCGGATCCGGAGGG